GCACTGCTTCTGCAGCACACCTCTGTCTGGGCATTTAGGCATATCCATACATCCTCTGAAATCTAGGTGGAAGTTCCCAAATCTCAGTTCTTGACTTCCGTGCACCTGCAGGCTCAACACCATGTGGAAGTTGCCAAGGCTTGGGGCTTGCTCCCTCTGAAGCCATGGCCTGAGCTGTACCTTGGCCCCTTTTAGTCAAGGCTGGAGTGGCTGGGACACAAGTCACCAAGTCCCTAGACTGCACACAGCAGGGGAACCCTGGGCCCAGCACAGGAAACCATTTTTTCCTCCTAAACCTCCAGGCCTGTTAAGGTGGGGGGCAGCTGCCACAAGGTCTTTGACATGCCCTGGAGACATTTTTCCCATTGTCTTGGTGGTTACCATTCAGCTCCTCATTACTTCCACAAATTTCTGCAGCTGGCTTGAATTTCACCTTGGAAAATGGGATCTTCTTTTCTATCACATTGTCAGGCTGCAAATTTCCCCAACTTTTATGCTCTTTTCCTTTTAAAACTGAATACCTTTAACAACACCCAAGTTACCTCTTGAATGATTTGCTGCTTAGAAATTTCTTCCGCCAGACACCATAAATCATCTCTCCCAAGATCAAAGTTCCACAAATCTCTAGGGCAGGGGGCAAAATGCCACCAGTCTCTTTGCTAAAAGGTAGCAAGAGTCACCTTTACTCCCGTTCCCAGTAAGTTCCTCATCTCCATCTGAGACCACCTCAGCCTGGATTTCATTGTCCATATCACTATCAGCATTTTGGTCAAAGACATTCAACAAGTCTCTAGGGAGCTCCAAACTTTCCCATATTTTCCTGTCTTCTAAACCCTCCAAACTGTTCCAACCTCTGCCTGCTACCCGGTTCCAAATTCACTTCCGTATTTCAGGTATGTTTTCAGCAGCACCACACTCTTCTGTTACCAGTTTAGTCCATTTTCATGCTGTTCATAAAGATATACCTAAGACTGGGCAATTTACAAAAGAAAAAGATTTAATTGAACTTACAGTTCCATGTGGCAGGGAGGCCTCACAATCATGGCAGAAGGCAAGGAGGAGCAAGTCACATCTTAGGTGGATGGCAGCAGGCAGAGAGAGAGCAAGCTTGTACAGGGGGACTCCTGTTCTTAAAACCATCAGATCTCATGAGACTTACTCACTATCATGAGAACAGCATGGGAAAGACTTGCCCTCATGATTCAATTAAGTCCCACCTGGACCCTCCCACAACACATGGGAATTCAAGATGAGATATGGGTGGGGATACAACCAAACCAAAACAGAAACCAAAAAAACCCAAAGAGCATAGTAGGGATAGAGAATTTGCATTGTGACTTTATTCCATTTTTGTTTGCACACTCTGGATCACCATGGGCTTTGCTTTTATCATAAGTGAAGTCTTTGTACTCCATATGAGTTAGCATTTCCTAGAATGCTCCACATCCTAGTTGTTACACTGGTAATTTTTTTTTTAGATGGTCTTGCTCTGTTGCCCAGATTGGAGTACAGTGGTGTGATCACAGCTCACTACATCCTCTATCTCCCAGGCTCAAGTGATCCTCCCACCTCAGCCTCCCAAGTAGCTAGGACTACAGGCAATGTGCCACCACGCCTGGCTAAGTTTTTTATTTTGTGTCGAGACAGTGTCTTGCCACGTTGCTCAGGCTGGTCTCGAACTCCTGGGCTCAAGCAATCCTCCTGCCTCAGCCTCCTGAAGTGCTAGGATTAAAGGCGTCAACCCCCACACCCAGCCTTAAATTCTGAGGTAGATCATTCTATGGAATTTTGCTTCCATTGTAACTCATCCTGTCTTTTGGCATCTCACAGTAACATGATCAGAACAGAAATCCAGATCGGGGACCTTCTCCTCAAGTGTGTTGTTCTGAGTGAAAGTTGCCCCATCTGCTTACTCAAGTCATCCTTCATTCCCCACCTTCCCTCGTCTGCCAGCTGAAGCCCCATTGGTGAGGGTCTCCATCCATTCATCTCCATCTCTTCAAACACTCAACAGGCACATTCAAACCACCATCTTTTCCTTTAGTTAGTGCAGTAACTTCCTGACTGATCTCCCAAAGTGCTTTTACTCTTTGTAAAATTTGGTAATCTCTTAAAATTACAAATTGGATAATGTCACTCCCCTTCTTACAACCTTACAATGTCTTTCTCTTGCACTCAGCATTAAATAAACTTTGTTATATGCAATGTGACCCCTGACTGATTTTCTCAATCTGGGCTTATTCTGCTTTCAATCCAGCCTGCTCTTGGTGTTTCTTGACTATGTCAAAATCATTCTGTCTTCAGGGCCTTGCTGCTTCCTTTTCTGCAATATTCTTCATCAGCTCTTTCTCATGGTTTCCACTAAGCTGATATCAGAGAGGTCTTCTATGATCACACTACCTATAGAGGTACCCCCTCCCCTTTCATCACTCTGACAGTACTAACTTATACATATCCTGTAAGATACAGATATTTTAAATCTTTCACCCCCTTCTAGAATGTGCATTCCATGAGGACAAGGACCTTATCTATGTTATTTACCATTGTATGCCTAAAACCTAGAACAATGCCTTGCATTTAATAGGTGTTCAGTAAATAAGTGCAGAACAAATAGAGCAAATATCTTTTTGAGTGCCTGACAACTCTTTGTACCTAAAATGGAAGAGTTGGATGTGGAGTGAGACCTTGAGGCAATCCCTTAAACCTTTTGCACCTTAGTACCTTTTTTTTTTTTTTTTAAGACGGAGTCTTGCTCTGGAGTACAGTGGTGCAATCTCGGCTCACTGCAATCTGTGCCTCCCAGGTTTGAGCAATTCTCCTGCCTCAGCCTCCTGAGTAGCTGAGACTACAGGTGCTCGCCACCATGCCTGACTAATTTTTTGTGTTTTAGTAGAGACAGAGTTTCACCATGTTGGCCAGGATGGTCTTGAGCCCCTGACCTCGTGATTCACCCACCTTGGCCTCCCACAGTGCTGGGATTACAGGCATGAGCCACCACGCCCAGCCCACCTTAGTATTCTTACCTCAAGAATCATGGTGGTAGACCAGATGATCCACGGTCTTTATGCTTCCTTCTGGCATTAGAATTCCATGAATTATAAGTATTTTTTAGTATCTCCAAAAAATAGTTGCATGATTAAGACTAAATTGTTAACATTTCAAAATACATCTCTATTGTTATATAACACTTAGCATACTGAAACTTTAAGGCATAATTTTTAAAAACTTACTTTGAAATACCTCTATAATGCAATTTAAGTGTTCCTATAATACAATTTAAGTGTTCCAAATTAAGTGTTCCTGTGGTATAAAAATGGTGCAAAAAAAAAAAAATGAGAGCGAGGGGATTAGAATCACAACACTCAAAAACTGTCAGTTACACATAAAAAGGAAAAAAAACCTAATAACAATGGTGGCAAATTTTTCACAGGTTAAATGATTTAAGAAATACATACACATGGCACTCTACCTTGAAAAAGGCCTGAGACTTGCTTGTTAAAGTGGGCTACTAAACGGTTGCAGCTTGTATAAGTTATTGTGAAGGGCTGTGAGATAGGCTATTTGAAATCTGATGGAAGGTTGCAACACCCGAAGTGAATGGGTATGGCTGATAGTTGTGGTGAACTGAAAAAGCTGGTAGGTACTTTGAGGTGTGTGCACTTTGTATGCAGTATTTCTACACAGTTGGGTTCAATTTTCTGAACTCGATTCAGCTGGGTATAGTTTTCTGTTGTTCACCTGGTGTTTCAGAGGAGAAACTGCAGGTAAACTAATGTGAAATTCACGTGATAGGCCCTGATTTTTTTCCTAATATGTTAATCATGTAGAAATAAATTTGCCTTGAAAACAAGCACTATAGAAACATTGTCTGTAATTTTAGACTTTAAAAATGTTGCACATATAGTACACAAGTTTTCTTTTCTTTCTTTTTGTTTTTGTTTTTGTTTTTGTTTTTCAGGTGGAGTCTTGCTTTGTCACCCAGGCTGGAGTGCAGGGGCACAATCTCAGCTCACTGCAACCTCTGCCTCCCAGGCAATTCTTATGCCTCAGCTTCCCAAGTAGCTGGGATTACAGGTGTGCGCCACCACACCTGGATAATTTTTGTATTTTTAGTAGAGGCGGGGTTTTGCCATGTTGGCCAGGCTGGTCTGAAACTCCTGAGCTCAAGCAGTCCACCCACCTCTGCCTCCAAAAGTGCTGAGATTACAGGCATGAGCCACTGTGCCCGGGTCACAGAGTTTCCATAATTCCCTTACTCAGTGGCCCTAAATGTTTACTTTCTACATGGCCATAGTACAGTGATGAAAAACCAGGAATTTAATGTTGAAGCTACACTGTTATCTAACCTTTGCTCTTATTTGGATTTTTTCGTGTTACATTGTTACTATTTTTCTCTTCCAGAATCCAACTCAAGATCTCATATTTCACTTAATTGTCATGGTGTCTTAGTCTTTTCCAACTGGGAACAGTTCATTACTCTGTCTTTCATGACCTTGACACTTTAAAGAGTACTGCTATTTTGTGGAGTATTGGCCCAGTTTGTATTTGTCTGATGTTTCTTTATGGTTAAGTTGAGGTTATGCTTTTTTGGCAAGAACAACCACAGAATTGATGTTGTGGTCTTCTCGGCACATCATATGCGTTAAGTCAATAAATAAGACATTAATTTTTGAGATATGTTTAGTGTTTTTAAGCTTTAGTTATATAATACAATTTGCTGTTTATACTTTACAGCCATTCATTTTTAGTGTGAGGTGTAATGTCTTTCATTTTTATCAGTTCTTTTACTTTTTTTTCATATGATTAAGCCATGTGAAAATGAATTACAGTATTATAGGTATGCACTTGTGTTCTTTATTTTTCTTTCTGAAACCTAATACATTTTGATTTGTCAATCCTACCAATTTGAGAGGGTATAATACTTTTGAAATAGAAGCATTTTTTTGTATTGTCCTTGTAAATTTAAAAAATATAATTACTGTATCATTTTTTTTTTCCAGTTTCAATAGTCATGGGCATTCCCACAGTGAAGAGAGAAGTCAAATCTTACCTCATAGAAACTCTTCATTCCCTTATTGATAATCTATATCCTGAAGAGAAGTTGGACTGTGTTATAGTAGTCTTCATAGGAGAGGTAATTATTTGTTATGTTTTTACCATATATAACCTATAAGAATTGAAATCATAATTAAATATTTGAATATGCTTTTTATAAGCACTTTGTAAAAATCTGATGAGTAAAGGTTAGGTACTATATTCTATCTGATAGTTTAATGTAAATCTAACCTATGTTATGTTTGCCTTCATTTCTCTCCTGAAATTACAAACCAGGAATAGTAATCTTTGTTGTCAATAGGATGATTTACACATAGATCTTTAAGAACATGTTTCCATTTCTAGCTCTAAGACCTAAATTTGGAGATTTGCACTGATGATCTTTGGGAGTCCTGAAACCTGAAAAAGGTGTAGCCTCAGCTTAGGTTTTATCATTCTTTTATTCTCTCCATCCTTCTGTGTACTCCTAAGAAATCGTGTGAATGAGAAATACCATACTTCTTATATTTTAGTCTCCTCAAAAGATTTAGAGAAAGAATAAATCTTGAGCAAGTTCTTTTTAAACCATGAGGAATAAGACCCTTGAGTAATATTTTCTTAATTATTTTATAGAATTTCAGAGTGGGAAAGGATTTAGGACATAGTCTAGTTCTGGCCCACTAATTTCTAATTTTTAGAGTTTCCCATGTCTTTTTAAATGAAAATGGTCTTGATAATTTCCTTAATAGAGAAGTAAACACATGCATACTGTTCAAAACAATTACATAAATGTATAATGAAAAATAACCTGTTACTCCTCTATATAAATATAACTATTTCAAAATATGTGTTAAGGATTTTTTTCTGTGGCTTGTACAGATATATATGAATGGGATCATTCTATACATATTTTAATGTAATGGACATTTTTCCATGCTAACAAGAATAAATATCAAAACATCATTCTTTATGGCTATAAAATATTTCATTATATGGTTTTAGCACAATTTAATGTCTGACTGATAGACGTTTAGGCTGTTTCCTAGCTGATACAGGTTTTCTCTTGTTCAAAAATATCTGAATTCTGTGTAATTGTTGCAAAGCAGAGCAGGAAATCATATGTCTGCAGAGGTGATGGCTAAACGAAGTGGTTAGAAAGAGACAAAAGGAGTTTTTGGGTGGGTTTCAGGCAGAATATTGCCTAAACCAAAACAACGAAGTGATGTTGGTGGTAACCATGAAGAGGACTTTATACCGAAGGAATATATATGTATATATTTTGCAACAGGGTCTCACTCTGTCACCCAGGCTGGAGTGCAGTGGTGCAATTTTGGCTCACTGCAGCCTTGATCTCACAAGCTCAAACAATCCTCCTACATCAGCCTCCCAAGTAGCTGGGACTACAGGTGTGCATCGCTGTGCCCAGCTAATTTTTTGTTTTTTCTGTGTTGAGATGGGGTTTCACTATGTTGCCCAGGCTGTCTCCTGGGCTCAGGTGAACCTCCTACTCTGGCCTCCCAAAGTTCTGGGATTACTGGTGTGCACGACCACACCCAAGCTAAGATATTTTTTATATTACCCTGTTTATTTACATTGTTTCAGCAATTTGCCCCAGAAGCATTCCAAATACCTTACTTAAAAACTGTAGGATTAGAAATTGAGATTCTATAAGGAAATAACAAATTCATCATGTTGGAAGAACACCTATTGTTTGTCTTCAAAAAATTGAGTTTCTAGAATTCCTGGGTTCATGGAGTGTATAGTATACAGTATGAAAACAATGTTGGTTTCTTTTATTCAGTGTTATTAGTTACAGTTGTACACATTCTAGTTTGTGCTTCACAGGAAGAGTGCCCGAGGCCTTTACTATGCCCTCTTTAAATTCTTTGATTTAAGCTGGTTCAACAGGGCTGCTTAGTTAGCTGGCCTAGGGTCAGAAGTAGGAATACAGAAATTGAATAACCAGAGAGTATTAATTAAATTGCTGTGACATATTTGGTTTTTATTTTTATTTTCTGTTGTATATTTCATTTATACTAAAAACATATTTCTTTTGTGTTTTAATTAATTTTTTGATAAATAATATAATCACATGGTTTTAAAAACCTCCATGTGTGTTGTATACACTGAACAGTGTTCCTTCCAATGCTGTGCTTTAGACATTCAGTTTACCCAGATGACTTGATAGTGTACCCATTCAGAGACATGTCATGGCTCTAATTCTGTACAGATGGTATAAGGTTAATATTTCATATTAGAGCATAAACAGCTATTTAGATTTCCTTCTGATTTTGAGAAAATATTTTTCTGGTAAATTATCCTTTTTTTATCCAAGTTTTAAACTTTGCTGTAGGCAGAGGTGAGAAATGCAGGCTCCTGTTCTTTTTGTGATTCTTTCCTCCGATTGCTTTGTGTACGTATGTATGTTTGTGGCTGGCTAGTTAATGGATCTGTTTTTATTTATTATATTCTAAAAACCTTCTTGGGTTTATTTATTATTTCCTTTTTTGTTTGTTTTCTGATTCATTGATGTCTGTTATTAATTTTTTCTCCTTTTTTGGTTCCATTTTCTACTTTTCAAACATATTCACCCAAATGCTAACTTGATTTATTTTCATTATTTACTTTTTAGATATAAGAATTAATATGTATTTTGCTGCCTGGTGGCAACTGATTTAAGAGTTTTTTTTTTCTTTTAAATTAATGGGGAAATGTTTGGTCATAATTTTTCAACTGGTGCGTATGTGTATGTGCACGTTTATATATGTTTATACACACATATATACATACAGTTTTTGTTCTGCTGAATTTCTCCCTTTTGTCTTATTATTTTGGGTAGCTGCTGTGCTGGTTCCTTTTTTATGAATCATCATTGGAGATGAAGCTTTGCCTAGGCTGCTGGTTTACAGGAGGATGAGGGGACAGAGTAGCGTTTCAGACAACAACTCTACCTTTCCTTCTGCCACGCATTTGGGCCATGTCTTGCAAATACTGCTAGCCTCTGCAGCTCTTCATGTTAGAACTAAACTGCATCCCTTTGGAGTTGGAGAATTTTGGCTATTAATACCTTAAAGTTTGCAGTTTTTGCATCAGGTTCTCATTGATAACTGTATGTGATTTCCAGGAGGAAAAGTGGGAAGGAAGTATTGTTAGTGCTATGTTACCACCCAAACTGTATAAGTAGCTGAGTCTGATGTAGTTAGATAGCTTAGTGTGCTTTCACCCAAGGTTTAGTTACCTGAATGTTTTTGAACTTTTTTCTATCCCAAAGCATCTGAAGAGTACAACAGCTATAGAAACAGTGCAAACTCTTTTAGATGCCTGTTAATCATATTTTTAAATAAAGGCAAATGTGTACATTTCAGGTATTCTTTTACTTACTGAACAAGTGTCCATTGAAGTACCAAAATGAGGAAGGTACTGGAAAAGATTAAAAATCTTCAAAGGCCAGACATGGTGGCTCATACCTATAATGCCAATGACGTGGGAGGCTGAGGCAGGAGGATCACTTCAGGCCAAGAGTTTTAGACAAGCCTGGGTAACAGAGCAAGATTCTATTTCTAAAAAAAAGTTTTTAAAAATTCTCCAGGCATTGTGGTACACACCTGTAGTCCCAGCTGCTCAGGCGGTTGAGGTAGAAGGATCACTTCAGCTCAGGAGTTCAAGGCTTCAGTGAGATGTGATTAAGCTGCTGCACTCCAGCTGGGTGACAGAGACCTTATCTCAAAAAAAAAAAAAAAAACTTTAAAAATCCATTAGATAATAAATGTTGACCCAAAATTGAAGCCTAGCAATACACAAGAATATTAATTTTTTATGCCATTAGCTTTATTTTTCTGCTTTTTGAAAAAAATTATTAGTTATACGTGTACATGGCTAAAGTGTCCAGTAGTTCTACAAAGTTTGTTAAAATAGTCTCCTGTTTTCTTTCTCCGACCCATTCCTCAGCCCCTATTTTCTTTGCTTTCACTTCCCTATTTCCCCCTCTTCTGGGACCTTTTAGGTTTCTTAGCTCGAGCTGGCTAGCTGGCAAGTAAAGTAAAAAAAAATACTCCCTGTGACTTTCTCTATATTATCCTGTGTTCTATTTTATTAGTTTTCACTCTAATATTACTAACTTTCTTCTGCTGCTTTTACATGGGCTTACTCTTCTTTTTCTAGATTTTTAAGGTGATTAGGTAGATTATTGGTTGGAAGGCTTTCTTCTCTTCTAATATAGTCAATTTAAAGCTCTAACTTTCCCTTTAAGCACCACTTTACCTGCATCCCATAAATTTTCATATGTCATGTTTTTATTTTCATTCAGATCAAAATACTTTCTAATCCTCTTGTAATCTCTTCTTTGACCCATGGGTTATTTAGAAAAGTGTTTAAAAATTTTTTATCCCTTTGAAGATTTCCAAAATTTCCTTCTTTTGTTGATTTGTAATTTACTTCACAAAGAACACATACTTTGCATATTTCAGTCCTTTAAAATTTATCAATACTTGTTTGTGATCTAGTATATGGTCTGTCCTGGACAGTGTTTCATGTGTTCTTAAAAAGAATGGATTCTGGCTGGGCGCGGTGGCTCACGCCTGTAATCCCAGCACTTTGGGAGGCCGAGGTAGGCAGATCACAAGCTCGGGACTTGAGATCAGCCTCACCAATATGGTGAAAACCTGTCTCTACTAAAAATACAAAAATTAACTGGGCATGGTGGTGTGCACCTGTAGTCTCAGCTACTGAAGCTGAGGCAGAAGAATAGCTTGAATCCAGGAGGTGGAGGTTGCAGGGAGCTGAGATTGCACCACTGCACTCCAGCCTGGGTGACAATATGAGACTCTGTCTCAAAAAAAAAAAAAAAAAAAAAAAAAAGGTATGAATTCTGTTGTTATCCAGTAAAGTGTTTTCCTCCCTCCCTCCCTCCCTTCTGCAATCATCTATCTAATCTATCATCTGTCTGTCTAATCTACCTGTTCATCTAATCTATTTATTTTTTAGAGGTGGAATCTTTCTCTGCCACCCAGGCTAGAATACAGTGTTGTGATCATAGCTCACTGTAACCCTAACTCCTGGGCTCAAGTGATTCTCCCACCTTGACCTCCCAAAACACTGAAA